GGCGGGGATGCCTCCAACATCCATGATCTCCTCACTAGACAGAGGAATGTGGCTTGGCAGGATAGCTGCCAGCCTGGCCACCAAAGGCCACATGCAAACCCAGGAGCAGGGTCGTATGAAAATCAAGTTGGTCTGGTGAGACCATGAGCTTCCCCTTCCCCTTGCTTCCCCCTTCCAGTTCCCTCTTCCCAGGTTTCCCCCTCCCCTCACCAACCCTCTCTCCTCCTTTCCCCAGTCTCACCAGAGTTTCATTTCCTCCACCCCCAGTTTTGTTAAATAAAGAGAGTTTGTATTTATGAAAAAGCATGTATTTTATTTTACATCAGGAAGGGGGGCTCCGGGAGTGGGGGAGGGGGGAGTAAGTGGAAAGATGTGCGGGAGGAATGAGGCAGAAGCCCCCTGTGGGGAAGACCAAGGAGACTGTTAGTGCTCCTCAGGGTGGAAGCTCTCCCACAGAGCCTCCTGGATACTGACAGCCCCCTGACGGACCTTCCGGATGGCAGCCTACAGAAAGTGCAGCCAGGCTTGCAGCAACGTGTCCAAGAGAAGCACCAGAGTGCCCAGGGGCAGCTCTGGCTCCATGTTGCAGAGTGCTGTGGTGTCCCGAGTGAGGGCAACCAGAGCACGCAGAGACAAAATGCTTTGCTGTCCCTTATCGAGGTAGACAAGCAAGCAGGGAAACCTGAGAACTGGCTGTTCTCCGCCTCAGGCAGCAGCCCCACCCAGTAAGTCCTGACCTGGTGCCGTGCTGGAACTGATTCCGGCCAGCCTTAAATGTGATTTAGCATCCACTCAGTGTGGATGTGCTATTTTGAAATAGCAAAATGCTATTTCGAAATGCATTTTGTTTGTAGATGCGTTATTTTGAAATAAGCTATTTCGAAATGAAATAACACTATAGTGTAGACATACCCTTACTATTTTGGTTTGAAACAGACGTTCTGCATTTGCCAGGTGACCAATTGTTCCCAAAAGAAAGTCTCTCTTGAAGGTGCAGAAATCATGGTTGGGTTCTGTAGCTCAGACTCTGAGAGGAAGAATCATGGGATTCCACCATGAGATGAGAAAACAGGACTCAAAGATTCAGCTAATCTGTAACTAGGATAATAGAGTATTAATTTTAGTCTGTGAATTGAAGTGTGTAATTGGTGCACATCTTTATGATTTATTTAGGGAATTGGGGGATGATCATATAAAGGATTCACATTGAAGCCAATGAAAGTTGAGGGAAATTTCGCAGGATTGTACTCTACTGTGAAAGTTTGTTTTCTCTTTTTCTTTGGTTTTTGCAGCTATTTTAATTCACTTTTAGTTTTATTTCTCAGCTGCTCCTCCTCCGGTTGCTATGGAAACATAAAATAGCAGTTAAATTGTACTGCTAATGTGCTTTTTCCTGTAGTAGAATAGTAACAGCTAATATTTGATCTAGCTCAAGTGCTGACTCAGGGATACTGTTGCATATATACTTTCTCTCTTTATTCTTATAAATACATAATGCATCGGTCTCATTCACCTTGTGCTTCTTAAAAGTGATATCCTGTCACAGTTAAGTACTGTAATTTGCCTTTTTAATGCCTGCACCATTAAAGTGTTGGCATTAGCTGATGTTATGAAACTGACTTTAAAAACTGCACTGAGTTTGGAACAAAATGGCACAGGGCAATAAGAAATATTAACTTATCTTTTTATGCAAAAGTTGTAGAAATCCATATGCTAGCCAGAACAAATCTACTTATCCCTATGAAAAAATGTAAATGGAACATTTTCTCTCCAACAATTAGGTAAATCTGACATTGCAATCCAACTAACTTTTAAAAGTATCACAATTTGCTTTATAGCACTCCACCAAGCTGAATGGCAATTTTTTTTAAAAGCACCATAACAGAGACTCTGATATTTAAAAAGAGGATTAAAAAAAAGTCACAATGGCTAAACAGTTAAGGTTAGAGGCAAAAGACATTCAGTTTTTAAAGAAAGTCAGATCCTACCAAGGAAAGTAGAAAGAAGCATACATTCTGGCAAGCCAAGCATAAAAGTATAATTATGCAGGCCAACAAAATAATTTAAACATCACCCAGCAAAAGACTCAAAAACTAACAGCAAAAAATTAAGTATATCAAAAGCCACATCAGTGGGGCCACAAAATGATCAAGGTGCAAAAGGAGCACTTAGATTCTCCACAATGATCTTGTTTTCTTTAACTGGATTCTTTTAATTGGTTTTCACTGACCACACCTGAGATTCCTACACCTCAGCTATTCTTTTTAGGTCGTATATCTGGGGAACTGTCAGATTGAGATCAATAGAGGAGGTTTTCAGACAAATTAATACATTTAACAGTAGTAAGTCACCAGGACCAAATGTACAGAACCAATAACTAACAGGTATGTAACCTATCACTTAAATCAGCTAATCTGCAAGTTAACTGGAGGATAACTAATGTGTCACTAATTTTTTAAAAAGGCTCCAAAACAATCCTATCAATTACAGGCTGATAAACCTACCTTCAGTACCAGGCAAATTGGTTGAAACTATAGCAAATAATACAATTGTCAAGCACATAGATGAACAGAGTTTGTTGGGGGAAGTCAACATGGCTTTTGTAAAGTGAAATCATGCCTCAGCAGTCTATTACAATTCTTTGAGGGGGTCACCAAACATATGGACAAGGTGAATCCAGTGAGTATACTGTACTTGGACTTTCAGAAGGCCTTGGACAAGGCCCTTCACAAGAGGCTCTTTAAACTAAGAAATCATGGGTGAGAGGAAAGGTCCTCTTATGGATCAGTAACTGGTTAAAATCCGGAAAACAAAGGATAGACAACATGTCCCCCAGAGATCTGTTCTGGGGCCAGTTCTATTCATCATGTATGTGAGTGATCTGGAAAAAGGGTAAATAATGATGTGGCAAAGTTTGTAGACTATACAAAATTACCCCAGATAGTTAGGTCCAAAGCAGACTGTGAAGAGTTACAAAGGGAGGTCATAAAATGTGTGATTGGGCATATTAAATGTCATATTGATAAACACAAAGTAATGCATATCAGAAAACCATAATCTCAACTATACGTACAAAATTATGGGATCTAAATGAGCTGTTACTGTTCAAGAAAGAGATCTTGCAGCTATTCTGGATAGTTCTCTGAAAATATCAGCTCAATATGCAGCAGCAATCACAGAAGCTAACAGTGTTAGGAATCATTGAGAGGGGGACAGATAGTAGGATAGTAAATAACATAATGCCACTATATACATTCATGGTGTGTCCACTTCTGAATACTATATGCAGTTCTGGTTACTCTATCTCAAAAAAGATACAATAGAAATTGAAAAGTTACAGAGAAGGGCAACCAAAATTATTTAAGGCTATGACACAGTTTCCATATGAGGAGAGATTTAAAATATTGGGCTTCTTAATTTGGAAAAGATTCAGCTGAGTGGGAAGTGTCATAGAGGTGCTATAGAATCATGACTACTGTGGAGAAGATGAATTAAGGAGGTATTATTTGCCCCTTCACATAATGAAAGGACTGTGTTCACCCAATGAAATTAATAGGCAGTAGCTTTAAAGCAAATGGAAGGAAGTACTTAACACAGCGCAGTCCACATGTGGAACGTTTTGCTAAGAGATGTTGTGAAGGCCAAAACCATAACAGAATACAAAAAAATACAGTAAAACTCCGATGGTCCGGCATCTGATGGTCCGGTACTCCTGATGGTCCGGCACCATCAGGAATCCGGAAGTGCTCCGGGCAGCCGGACAATTGGAGCTGCTCTGCCCCCACCTTCCCCGATTCAGCCGCTGCTAAAACTGACCAGAGGCTGAATCGGAGAAGCCGAGGGCAGAGCAGCTGGAGTGTTGCCGGGTAGGTCCTGTAGCGCTGCCCCTCAGCGCTGCGGGACCAACCCGGCAGCACCCCAGCTGTCCCCGATTCAGCCTCTGCTGAAACTGATCAGCGGCTGACTCCAGGAAACCTGAGGTAGAGCTGCTTTGCCTCGGCTTCCTGGAATCAGCCACTGGTCAGTTTTAGCAGCAGCTGACTTGGATACACCTGGGACAGAGCTGCTGGGGTGCTGCCGGGTGGTCCCCGCAGCGCTGAGGTGCGGCGCTGCGGGGACCAACCCCACAGCGCCCCCGCTGCTCCGTCCCAGGCGTCACGATTCAGCTGCTGTTGAAACTGACCAGCGGCTGACTCCAAGAAGCCCAGGGCAGAGCAACTCTGCCTCGGGCTTCCTGGAGTCAGCCGCTGATCAGTTTCAGCAGCGGCTGAATCGGGGACAGCTGGGGTGCTGCCGGCTTGGGGCCCCCACCCCGGGGACTCTGCTCTAGCCTGGCTGGGCCCACCGGGCCGCACTGCAGGTTCACAGCTGATCCAGCTGCCCACCGCTCGTGGTACAATGCAATGGGCCAATTAACCATATACAGTAAACATTACAGTAAACTTCCGATAATCCGGCACCCTTAGGACCCAGGGGGTGCTGGATTATCAGATATGCCGGACTATCGGAAGGGGGGGCTATGAGGGGTCTGGGGTCAGACCCCTCATAGCCCCCCCTTCCGATAGTCCGGCATATCTGATAATCCAGCACCCCCTGGGTCCTAAGGGTGCCGGATTATCGGAAGTTTACTGTAAATTCTTGGAGGAGTAGGTTAATCGATGGCTATTAGTCAAGATGGTTATAGATGCAATCTTCTGCTCTGGGCATCCTTAAGCCTCTGACTACTAGATGCTGTGATTGGACAGCAGGATACAAGCATATTGCTCTGTTCTGTTCACTTTCCTTTGAAGCATCTTGCTGGGGCCAGTGTCAGAAAGCAACAGGACGTTGGGCAAAATAGACCATTGGTCTTATGGTCACTTGTATGTTATAATTTTTATGATGGGAAAATCTCATATGTCAGTAATTGAATGTTAGTGATGCCAAGGGACAGTTAACGTGTAGCACACCTATATGTGTTAACAGTCAGCTGCATATAATTTTATTTTATTTTTTTGTAGAAAAAATCAGGCAAAGGTATGCAGATCTGCCAGGGGAGTTGCACATTATTGAGCTTGAGAAAGATAAGAATGGGCTTGGACTCAGCCTGGCTGGAAACAAGGACAGGTCTCGGATGAGCATTTTCATAGTTGGCATCAATCCAAATGGACCTGCAGGAAGAGATGGACGAATGCACATTGGTGATGAACTTTTAGAGGTAAGTGATGCCTTTGGCTGTATAATAGGGTTGGTGTCAAGAGAGGGAGGAGAACCTGTCAACCTAGTAATTAAATATGAAATAGAGAGCTGGTGCCAGTTTATGGAACTCAGTGACTTATGCCAACCAAGCATCAAACAAATAGAAGAAGATATTGAGATTAGGCATGTAATTGGTTTAATTAATTAATCGATTAAATTGTGGCAGGCTAGAGCATTGCCTCTTTCCCCCGCCGTGGATGGAGGCTTCTTCTGCCAAGCTCAAGCACCCCTGCCTATGGTGTGCTCAGGCCAGGCCCACTATGGATGAGGGCTGCTCTGGCCAGGATGGCCGGGAACTGCTTCAGCTGGACTGCTCATGGCGGGTCCTGTGAGCTGCCTGCGGTGGGCAGGAGTCTGGTCCAGCCTCCACTAGTTATCCGTAACTGGTAAGCCTCACCCCACAGGTTAACCATTAACATTGAGATGAATGGAAAATGTTTAACAATAACTATGCAGATGATGCCATGCTGTTGGCTGATTCAGAAGGTCTGTTGAAGTTAGTGGTAGTTTTATGAGAGTAAAACAAAGAATATGGTCTAGAATTGAATTTGAACACAACAAAAGCTATGGTGGTATCCAATGATCCTGTGATATTCCAGTGAACAATATAGGTGTACACCAAAGAAATTATTTGAGAAATTGTTACTTAGGGAGCATTACAGAAGATTTAGAGTCAGCTATGGAGGTCAGCACCAGAATAAGTAAAAGTGAAAGCTATTGTGGAAGAATAAACATTGAATAAGAAAGGGACATAAATTATGACTTTTAAAAAATGTATATATGGTTTGTGTTAAATAAATTATGGCTGTGAAACATGGACTTCAAACAACAGTAATGAAGAAACTCCAATCCTTCATATTATGGTGTTACAGAAGAATTCTGAAAATATTTTGAATAGAACTATAACCAATGAAAATGTATTAGAGAGTATTGGAGCTCAGCAAAATGGAGCTCTTATGAAAAGAGAGTTTTGATTTCCAGGGCACATTTTAGGAGGCTCAGCATATTATTCATGTTATGGGCACAGGACGGGAACGTTGATGGCAGAAGAATTTGAGAGAGTGGAAAAAACCCTTGAATGTATGATGTGGTATCCTGGGTGGATCAAAAAGGCTATTAATCCACAAAGGGATTAGCAGAGGACTATACAGCATGTGCTACCATGGTTACAAATCTCCAGTGATGCAAATGTCACGTAAGAGGAAGAGGATGATCTAGTCCATTGATAAATGTATTTTCTGTGAAGAACAAAAATCACATCTCTACTTGCCTGTGACAACCAATGTCAGTGCACGTACGCTTTCAGAATGTTTACAGACTGTGGTTAGGCAGGGACATTGAAAACCAAATGAGGAAATAGTAAATCTATCTTCATATTGTTTCACAGGAAAATTCACAGTTTATATATCATGAGTTTTGCCTTTAGTAGTTTTCTTGGGTTCCCTTCCTTTCCAAAGGATACGAAAATACAATTTCATATTGTGATCCATTTTCATCAGTTGTTAGAAATTCAAACACTGTCCCTTTTTATTATGTAGTTATTTATTTTTGTGATTATCTGGTGCAAATTAGTCCACAGAGAAAATTAACCCACTGAGCAAGTGATTATATCAACAAATTAAGCATTATTTCCCCTTTTTCTTCCACCCCTTTTCATCCTCCAGCTTGGAACACATTTCAAACCATTTGGCTTGTTATTTGACTACTGTAGAGTGGCACTTATTGCTAAGGGTCTTTTGCTATTCCTGTGGTGGATCCCACGTCATGATTGCTACACAGGTTTGAAAAATCATCTCTGTGGATGATTCTCTTAAGAAGCTTTCACTGAAGAATAGGTGTGTGCTAACCTACTGGACTCAGTGGTAGGTGATGTTAGATCTTTCAGCAATTCTGTCTGTGTTGTATAAGCACTGGGGATGTAAGCGACTAGTCGAGTAGTGACTTTGACTATCACTTCTTCCCTCCACCATCCCCCTTCCTCTCTCTGATAGAGAGAGAGGCAGCGCAGAGGGGGAGGCAGGAGCCCTTCCCCCCAGCACCATCTCCACAAGGGGCGGGGGAGGCAGAGGCGTCCCGACTGCTGTGCCTCCCCCTTTGAAATGTACAAGAGCTGCCCAAAGTTCCATCAGCTACTTGATTAGTTGATTAATCTAAATTTAACATCCCTAATAAGCACCAAGTATTTTCTCTCATTTCTCAACCTAAAAAGAAGTCTGACTATCTGGAGATGTCTTGGAAACTCTTTAGATTTGTCAGTGTCTAATTATAGGTTTTCAATACCCATACAATGTAGAAGGCTTGTGAAATAGAATATCACTATAGGAAATGTAATTTCTGATAGGGTGATAAATTATGTTAAAGTTTTTGTCTCTTGCTGAAATAATAGCAAGCAAATTTCCCTTTCCTGCAAATTTCTGTGGGTCCATGCTTCAGTGAGTGTAGAATCATAGATTCATATGGCTGGAAGGAAACCCAAAGATCATCTAGTCTAGCCCCTTGCCAAGATGCAGGATTTTCTGTGCTATAACTTTTAAGGGACCAGTACATTTTACCAAGATGTTAAAAGACAAATTGGCATCCTTTCTCATGCTTGAGCCCTAAAGAAAAGATAATATCTTAGGCTTTACTTAGTAAACCTACCCACACCTGCTTTCTTTACAGATTTTCAGCTCAGGCAAAACTCCCATTGATATCAGTAGGATTGTGGTTCAGGCACACAGGACTGGGGAACGATGGTTTCTATTACTGGTTCTGGCACTCATTTCCAGGATGGTCTTTTTCATCTCCATCTTGGTTCCTATTCTTTCTCCTCACCAAAATCAGTTGCTTGTTGCCATGCTGTTTGCAGTGGCTCACAACTGTGAGTGCCTACCTCAGGATGGACTGTCAGAGAGAGGGCAGGTATCCCAAGCTGTTGGTGTCTTGTATAATTAGATTTCACCAGGCCAGTAGCAGCACATGTGAACTTCTGGATCACTATACTGGTCTTACCATGGAACCACAGACAGTCCCCTTAGAATCTTCTGTCTATCTTGCCATCCAGACAAATTGAACTTTATGGTAATGGTCATTTAAATAAAAAATCACACCACAGTCCTGAGAGACTAGTCACTTACCCCAGATATGTTGATACTCCAACTCTTACACCAAAGACAACTCTATAGCAAACCAACCAGAGGTGACATACGAGATTAATGATGGTAATAGTTGATCTTTTAGAGAAAAAGGAAAAACGTTAGTTGAAAAAGCCTGGAGCTGTGTGTTGAAAACAAAATAAGACAAACACGCACAAATGGAGAAAGAAAAGAACAGCGAGGGTAGAAGATGCAGCTTCTGTCTCTGAGATGGACTCTCACTTGCAGTTTCATTGCTAGAAAACTCTTGCACAGCACAGTTTTATCAGCTACTGAGAGTCCTGGGAAACTTATGCCAGGATTGAGCAATTTAGGACATTGCTTTTACTTGTGTTACTGGTCACAGGGTTATAGCTATGTTGCTATTTTAAAAAAAAAAACTATTTTGGATGCGAAGTCAGACACTTAATAGACAGAAGGAAAAAAGAGGAATAGTAAAGAGAAGAAAAATGGTGACAAAGAAAGAAGGGTGTCTGCGGGAGAGCCAGCTTGGCCAGAGCCAGTAGAGGTATTGATGTCATCCGAGTCCCTCTCTCTGGCCCTGTTTCTCAGGATCAGAACAATGTCTAAACAGTCTTGGTATCTCAGGAGATGGTGGGAGAGGCACCTATGGTGGTAAAGCTTACTACAGTAGTTTTCAGTAGACAGTTATTTTTTACACTGGTTAAATTCTGCTTCTTGACTTTCTTTCGAATCATTCCTTGTAAGACCCCAAAAGGGAACAATAGATGAAACCTCCCATCCAGTCATTATTTTGTCCAATTAGATTAATTTCTGATGTACCAATTTGTTCATTTTCAGTTCTGCCCTATTTGCATTTACAAGGCATTATGAACTTTGACTTGCTGCTTAGTTATAAAAGTTCCCATCAAAGCTGGGTGGTAAAGACAATGCTCTTCTTTTAATGCCTACTTCTAATGGATTCTCACGTCTTTACATCAGAGTATGAGAGGCAGAAGTTTCTTTCTGTTCTTTTTTAAATTAATGTTAAGCATCACAGCATACAAACATTCAACATAAGAAATCTGTGTTGCAGAAAATCAAATGTAGTTTCCAAGTACCTGTCTGAGGGTTTTGATTCCCAGAAAATAAAGTAAATATCCTGCCATATTTTGTGACTGTGTCACAGTCTCCCATCAAAAATAAGAAAAGATTTCAAAATGGTGGCCCTTATGAAATTCTAGTTGTTCTCTTGCTGTTATATTTTTGTAGAATGTTGTTACACAGCCTTCATCACTAGGGTGTCTGAGAAGCTAACATAACAGATTTTCTTTCCAAAATAAACCCTTTCATTTAAAAAAAAAATTAACATAGAGTGTCACTGAAGAATAACTACATGGAATAGTTGAAAACCTCAAGGGAAATGTATTACTTTGACTACATTTTCATTTTTGTATAATTAAAATAATTATAGCTTACAGGCCTAACTTCAGCTAATTACATTTTGGCCTCTGATACATTTGCAAAGTAGGATTACTGGTAATTTAACCAGTGTAAAAAATATAAATTCTAATCTAAGCAATTTTTAAGAAAAAAGTATGGCAATTCAACTGAATCCAAACTTTTTATAAAGCAGATCTAATATCCCTAGTGGAAATCTTTTTTTTAAATGGCGGGGGGGGGGGGGG